AAAAAAAAAACAACAAAAGAACTTTTTCCTTGGACTATAGATAATTGTGACACTAGAGGACTTTTAAGTTGTGTTCTAAAATCTGAACTCTGTTACAGTCATAAAAGAATTTTTGATATTGACATTCTTTTAGTATTTCCCTTTATCCATACTCTCTTTACAGTCCTCATAGATGTGAATAAACTTCTGAATTCTACCTTGATTGTCTGGAGTTTTGGCTTTAAATTATATTTTGTGTATACCAAGGAGCATGTTTGATGGTTACTCACGCTTTTTGTGAGGCCTGTAAGCTTAATTTTGATTTATTTTAGAGTTATGCATGTCAATGGGAAGTATGCTTCAAACTAGAGAATTTAAAGGAAACATATTAAAGCTCTCTTCTCCACTGCTTTTTCTTCAGGCTCCTGTTCCAAAGAGTGCACTTATTCCAGTAATTCCCATCACCAAATCAACAGGCTCCCGGTTCCGGAATAGTGTGGAAGGATTGAATCAGGAGATTGAAATAATCATTAAAGAGACTGGGGAAAAGGAAGAACAACTTATAGTAAGTAATCCTGTATCTTAAACTTGTCCTTCCACATTAACTGTTCTAATTATTTAAAAAGTTACAATTTCAGTTTCCATATTTACTTATGTTCCTTTCTCCCTGTTGAGAGACAATGAAAATATGTCTCTCTTGAAAAACTTTATCTTAGCAAGTGAATGAAAAGTTGTCGTTTCTTTGCATCTCCTAGAGACAATTGATACGGCTTAAATTTAGGTCCCTGAACAGAAACTACTTTTTGTTTACCATATTTAAAAATCACTAGACAGGTGATACACTTCTCATTTGCTATAACTCCATGTAACAAAAGTTTAGATTCCAAATTTGTTGGAGAGGGAGGGATATGACTTCAAATACTTTCTAAGCATGAATATACCTCTTCCTTATTGTTTGATTGTGAGTTACTATTTGGTTGACTTTATGATCATGAAGTGCAGTTCTGCTTACCTATAATACACATAAGACACTGGGCATCTGGGAAGCTCAGTCGTTAAGTGTCTGCCTTCGGCTCGGGTCATGATCCCCGGTCCTGGGATTGAGCCCTGCATCCAGCTTCCTTCTCGGTGGGAAGCCTGCTTCTCCCTCTCCCTCT